ATGTAGCCATTAGATTAAGTGATTCTCTATCACATGCACAATTTTGATATGTTAGATCGTTAGAGGTAGTTGGCAAGAAACCTACAGATACGGGTTTCAGAACTAAAGGACTTGACATTGATCACCAATTAGTCTTCCAAATCAATTACGACCCGAATAATTTAGTAGTAACGTTTTGGACCGTGAATTTGATTGATCCAGGTTCTAATCAACCAACAATTACTAATTCCTTAAAGATTTCAGTTATGCCATTAAACTGGGCATAAATTAAAACCAAACCTAGGTTAACCAGGATTTCCTGTATACTAACTCCAACTACCTTACATCCTGAAAATGGCTAATCTACTAACTGGGAGCTTGATACAACTTCCCAGCCGCTTCTAATAATTCCAAACTAAACTGACATGGCAACTTGAACATAAGAGAAAAGGCGTAAAGTGAAAAAAGAGCTTTACTCCAAAATTAAGGTAATACAAGATGTCAGTGTATTCGTACTATTCAACGTGACCCTGATCGTCTGGAAAGTTTTCACGGTAAACTAAATATAGCAATGAGAAGGTAATTAACATGTGATCAGTCATCCTTCTAGATCTTTTGAAGAAACTTCTATTCTATCCTTATTGGACAAAATGTTTTCAAGCGTTTACTTGGCTTCTATAAACTTTTCCAGGAAGCATTTCAAAACGCCCCAACAAAAACTGCACGAAACAAAATTTCGTTTCAATTCAAATATTTGACAATCGTAGTAACAAAAATGTTTACAAACTACTTTTTACACAACAGATATAAAATTAGGTCGATTGGTTTCCATCGTCTGAGGAGTCCCACAATAGGACGAAACGGTCGTTCAGTGCTTCCAGGTTTTCCATGGTGATCTAGCTTCAATTGACTCATGATTTCATCTACTGATATTATAATCTTTTTGTTTGATTTTAACCGGTTCTGACATAAAAAAGAACAACTACTTTGTTCGACTGTAATACTCATGTTTAAGAACTTTCATCTTTATTAGTGACGTATTCTTATCAATTACATATGAATTTTTATAATTAACACAATTGTTTACTAATCCACATTACAATGTCATATAAAGTTATTAACTGTTTGAATACATTTCTATTATCAATAAGATTCAGCCTTACAAATGATCAATGCCTTTAAGTTGTTACTAAAAAGAGTTATCCATATAACTTCTCACAATGTACATAAGTCAATAGAGTTTGCGAGATGACTATGAAGATTGTTGAGTTTCATTGTGTTACATGATGAACTGACCTAAGTTAGACAAGTAGTGGAAACTAGGAAACACTTGATAGTTGTCTCGTACTAGTATAGGTCTTCTCAGAAGTGCTTATCCACGAAGTCATAAGTCAGGAGGTCACCATCGTCAGGTCTCGCATCGACCGTCTATTTTTTTAGATTAACGAGTAGGAAACCAACAATTTACACTTATAAATTCAACCAATTTGCAATACTGTGTTGAAGACTCGGATACATTCAAGAAAAATTTAGAATTCGCTATATTCACGATACTTCAGACAAAACAGGCCCGATATAATCAATACACATGATTAAGCTTATTGAATTAACATTTGACATAGATGGGATGTTGGATATCACAAATATTTCTAAAGATAAATTGGAAACCAACCGCAGAGATAGTGTTAAATAGTAAGTTATGCAACAGAACTAGACACCAATGAGCTGAATTTGAAATGTTCATAGAATGTTATTTTTTTGAATATTTCATTTTTCTCAGTATAAGATTATTGAGTTTTATTGAGCCGGTAGATGCCAAACTACCGACATCCAACGGTGATGATAACTAACTTCAGTCGACGACATTGTGCGGTCATCTTTCATTGTCTTTGAGGGGTAACCGCCTTACCGTTTTACTCCGGCCCATAGGTTTAAAAGTTGCGTTGCTGCGAGCGAAACCGAAAGTCCTTGGTTGGGTTTGCGCATGCAGGATCATGGAGGCGCGCTGCTGAGGGATTCCATACCAGAACGGAACAGCCGTCCAATATTCTAAAGTTTCCAACGGTGGCTTAACTAGAATCGATTCACGATTTCAATGGTATTTCATTTTTAATTCGTTGGGGGAGGGGTGATAATCCAAGTGGACTAGAAAATGATACTATTACGAAGCTTTGTCATATTTCACTTGGTATTGTTTTGCTTATATCTTCCCATTGAGGTTTAAGACTGCATTTGATCAGTATATTATTGGCATATGTGCATACTGTGCGTATACCTCGACATTGCCTTAATTCACAGGCTTTTATAAGGAATGATGGATAGTGGCTAGCAGTGGAATCCAGGACGCGCGTTTCGTCCTATTTGAGGCTCGTCAGCTGGATGTACCTGCATCTCAGAATTGACGTTCACTCTGGGATTCGAACCCAGTACCATTCGCTTCAAATGCCATCGCGTTATCCACTCAGCTACTGAGTCCTTATAGCCACTTGCTTGTGCAATAGAGTCCCAAAGTGAACGTCAACTCTGAGATGCAGGTACATCCAACTGACGAGTCGCAAATAGGACGAAACGCGCGTCCTGGATTCAAATGCTAGCCACTATCCATTTATGTTTATCATATTTGTTTACGAATTTATAGCTAGGAAAATAAGTTGAAACACTTCTTAACTTTTAATACTGTCAATTGTCATCTAGCTTAATAGTTGTTATATCTTGAAAAGTTGATTTTTCTTGATACTACCGCGTATAACAGAGCACTAGAACACCAAAACCCTTCCAAGTCGCAATAAGAAGAAAGAAGACTAATGAAAGGAATATTATTCCAAACAGTGTCAATCATAGTACAAAATTGTCAGGTATTTATAGTTTTTAGTGAGAACGAAATCATCATTACAGTCTTCCAATCCGCATACAGGGGGTTATTAGCATTATCCAATCGGTAAGCTACACGTTGGAATTCTAGAACATTCTTCCGAAAGGTGATTGGATGGGACGTCTTCGGCTCCTTCTGAGCCTCTTACAGCTACCTCGAGTTCACCGGTGGTCCGTCGTCACAATAGTCATTTGGCAATTCAAGCTAATTTTATTACAACTTGAATGATTACAGCGATTTTGCGTTCTATGAGATGGATAGTTTCATTGTGAATCATTCATTTTCATTCAAAGCATCAACTTGTGTATCGTAATCGTCCTACTAGGCTATAAGTTTTTGACAACATTTTGAAGTCGTCGATACTGAAATGCTAAAAATACTTAAATAAACAACTGCAAATAGACGAACTTGTAACGTAATCTTGCTCTATCAATTTTTAGTCATCATTATTACATATTTTTAATTTCACACTAGGGTCATTATTAATTGTCATTAATTACTGTTATTATTAGAAGTGTTCTACTGAGTTGTCAGCTCAGTTTTTTCGTTTTCACTTTCAGATTCTCACAAACAAACTACTGTGAAAACTTCTTCAGTGAACATTGTAACTAACTTTACGCTAAATGGGCAAATTTACCAAAAGCTGAATAGTAAAAACTACACTTTCGCCTACTTGAACGGTTAATCATATCCGTTTAAAAAATGAACTCTGACAATTAATTGGAATCATCAAAACGTAACATAATAAAACACTAACCGACACACATATTACCTAAAAAGATATTACTAAGACAACCATGTTGGTAGATGAAGACTATTTGGTTGAGGTCCACGTGACTATCGTAAATAATTTTTGGATATTCTAGGTAACATAGCTCAGAATCGATCCCAATGGCGTAGGTGTATACACTCTATAGCTATAGGTTCATATGTTGTTTTCCTCTTACAATCTCAAAGCGCATTTGGAACATTGGTTAAATATTAGAATTTTCAAACTCCCCTATGTGGATTATCCGCACCCACCAATTTCTACTTAGACACGAACTATATCAAAATATACTGGTAAGTAGTCCATTTTCTCTGATTTCTCTAGCACTCCAGTCTTCAACAGCTTTTATCTTGTCTTGAAAAGCCAATCGGCTTCCCAACTTATATATATATATATGTCACAGTGGCATAGGTGTATACAATCCTTGTCTTTCCTTTTCTTTCTACGAACTAATTCTTCCGCCGTTTATTATATCCTTATATATTACTGTCATTGAAGTAACCACTGCTATGAATTTGGTAATCATCTTGTTGGGATATTCAGGAAAATATCCCAAAAATTATTCTATTAAGTCTAATGCTATTCTTGAACTTGAGATGGTATCATTTTCCTATTGGTGAATATTTATTTCACGTATCATTTTTCCTGTTGGCCAAATATTATACAAATGTTATTTTCTATTTTATGGTACGATATGGTCTGCTTGATTGGTATATAAACAGAGTATGTTTGAAATGATTCATATCTCAGAGGCTGAGACTTGCGTTCTGGACTCAACTGTCTGGGCTAGACAAGGAAGCAGGGCCAATCAGGACTCTAAGTTGTTCTTGCGTGTTTTACGCATCTTTGGTTCGATCGATAAATTCTCTATCTAAATCTGCGGTTCACAAGACACAACAGTACTAATGATATATGGCAACTTGAACCGATGCCCCTAAATGCCCTGGTATGGCCGAGAGTGGGGAGAGTCCGCTCTCCCTCTCGAAATACTCTCACATGACCACGCGTATATAGCCTCTGCTAGGGAAGTCCTACTCACTGCCTTCTCGTGGCAGGGGTGTTGTTTACGAAAATGAGAGGACGAAAAGCGAATGTCCGGCGCTTTAACCGGATCCCAAGCCAATGGTGCACATGGGCTCCAGTATCCTGCGGGAACAAAAGGCGTATGAACCAATCGTTGATCACCGGCTACCATGGGACTGCATCTCCTTACGATGCTCCACTGCCTTGTGGGTTAGACGTTTAGGTCAAAGGCTCAGGGTGTGGCCTCCTAAGATAACCACCTGCTTCGGTTTGGGCACCCGAGCAGTATCGCAGCCCACACGCAAATAATGAACTCTCTATATCTATGGAATATATCCTTTATAAGTAGAATACATGTCAAAATAAATATTACATTATTATTATTATTATTATCGTTAGTATATATATAAAAGAAAAGAAAATAAAAGATGAACAGGATTAAAATAGTGAATATATAGGCAAATACATATAGAGAAGAGATAATATACACAAATGATTCTTTCTTTCTTTCATTATTTCTATGCACATTATTTACATAATACTAATTTTATTCTATAAAAACAGTAAAAAGGGGTAAATGGTCTTAAAAAAAAGAAGAGCAATAACAAACGATTACAACAAATAATAAAAACCATCATTAAATAAAGAAAACAAAAAAAGGAGAAAAGATTTTTACAGAAGAAAACGAAAATGTATGAAACACAAATACACACATATGCACGCACGCACGCACACAAACATATATATGCACATTAAAATGTATACAGTAAACACCAAACAATAATAAATAACATCATGAAAAAGAGAAAGCGAATGAGGAGTTCAATAGTTCAATTGTGCTCCGATTTATCCGCCGTGTTGCTTTTAGAAAAAAATGGTTTGGCGGGAAATATGTCATTTGTTTGTAATTTTGTTTTTGCACACATATAAACTTATTTTCATTTACAGAAAGAAAACAACAAATGCATTTAGTCTTGAAGTATACATAAATTGTAAAGAATGTTGAAATAATAAAAAATAAGCAAAGATCTAAGAGAATCAGAATGGAATAGATAGATAGATAGATAAATACATGTCTTTATATATATATATATATATCAAACTAAATCACTGTTGAATAGAAAGTGATGATAATAATAATAATAATAATAAGTCTTTAGAAAAAAAAGCAGAACGAAACGATGACAACAACGAGGTAGAAACAACGACTAGATTTAGTTGCATTGGAATTTAAAAAGATAAAATAAAATACACTGAAATCAACCGATCAATATGGTGTCTCTTTCTCCCTCCCTCCCCACACACACACACCCCCATAGAGTCCTCAAGATGGTGATTATCACATCACCAATGTTCATAATTATTACACATGTAAAAAAGCCAAAATGTAAACAGGTAAAAGAGACAAGAGTGAAGAAATGAAAAGAAGAAATAAAACAAAATGATTGTCTATTCTATGACATTTAAAAGGAAGAAAGAAATCATATTGGTGAAATTACACATGATTGAGAAGAAGACATGGTAGAAACTGATTGATTGATAGATAGATAGTATCCTATTTATTTGTTTTCTTTTTCATTATTGTTTCATTAAATAATAAATAAACTACATGGACGATGTTATACATCCGTAAAGAGTAGTAGTACACAATGATATCAATATAAATGTTATTGTTGTTTGATAGAAAGAAAATTTCTTTGAAGAAGGAAAACAATTTTTTCTAGTCAAATCGATAGAAAAATGCATTATATCTGTAAATAATGTATATATATAAAAGACAGGTATTATAAAGCTGTGTAAACTAATTTCTCATCACCTGTACTTAATGCAGTATTCAAACTAGTATTATTTGTAGTCTGTACTAGATCTTCCACTATACCAGCGGCTGGTTGTACAAGTGGAATTGTACCGGATGAAATAGCTGTCCCAGAGAAAAATCCTGCTACCGTTGAAGCAGTCGATACTATACGTCCATTTGTTTGTTGTTGTTGTTGCTGCTGCTGCTGTTGTTGTTGTTGTTGAGGTGTAGCAACACGACGTTGAGGAGTCACTGTAATCGATGTTTGATTTGATTGTAATGCTGTAGGTTGGTGATTTATAGTCATACCAACTGGTCCAGTTGGCATAAACTGTGGTAAACCAGTAGTTTGAATAAGTTGACCATTTGGACCAACAGCCATAACTTTTAATGGAGCACCTGGTGCTAATGTAATAAATTGTGGAGTATTATTATTAGAATATCCAATGGGACCAGTAGTTTGACCAGTAATATTATCAGTAGACATTATAGTACCTTGTTGTTGTGCTGATTGTAATTGGTGCGTTTGAGCTTGAATTTGTTGATGTTGTTGAAACTGTTGAGTTTGTTGATACGCTTGTTGTTGTGTTTGAATTTGAACAGTAGGTTGTCCTCGTTGAAGATGTAATCCAGTCGTTGCTGCTGTAGAGCATTGTGTTAATGCTTGTTGTTGCTGGTGTTGTTGTTGGTCGGATAATAATAAACTTGTGAAATTCGAAGCAGGACAACCAACAGGAAGTAGATGATATGATGTTCCTGCACCGTTAGCACCTATGATATAGAATAAAAGTTTTTTAAAAAGTTAATATGACATGTACTACCATATAATTATTTTGAACAGAAAAAAGTGAATCAATTATTTATTTTAATAGTTGAATTCATGAGTCGATCTAATCTAAACCGTCATTGAAAGCCTCCACAAATCTCGATTCTGATAATAATCATGTGCATACCTGTGACTAGCTTAGAGACGTAATTCTAGGAGTTCTAGTGAGAATCCATGACCAGTGGAGCCCAATCCGTATCGGACGTGAGACATTTATCTACCTCAGACAATCGATGAAGGATGGTGCAAGATCATGGGTCGACTGAAGTTAGACATTAACACTATTGGATGCCAGCTCAGTAGCTAAGTGTTTTCGCGCAAAACCGAAGGTCCTGGGCTTCGGTATTGTGAATGCGCACTGTTGAGGAGTCCCATGCTAGGACGAAACGACCGCCCAGTGCTTCTAGGTTCTCAATGGTAGACTAGCTTAGATCAACTGATGAATTCAACTATCAAAATTTTACAGTATCCACAAATCCCCATACTTTGTAAACTAACAATTTATAAGAAATATTTTATATAAATAATCATTTATTTCATATTTTTAACTAATCGCTTATCAAGCACAAATATTAATTCAACAAGAAGAGAAGTAAACAGTTTAAGAATAACTGTTGATTTAACCATAAAGTCACTTATTTCACTCTTTTTTATGAATTAATGTCTCCAAATAGTCCTCAGATAAATCAATAGAAGCCCAGAAAACGCTTAAAAATATTTTGTCCAATCAGGATACAATAGGAGTTTCTTCAAAACATCTAGAAGGATGACAGATCACATTTACTTTTTTGATGAGGTAATTACCTTCTCTTTGCTACATTTATTGTACTACCAGAACTTTCCAAGCGACTGAGGTCACGTTAAATAATAGGCACAACTTTATATACATACTTTTAGATAAGAGTAACGCTCATTTTCACTTTACGCCTTTTCTTTTGTGTTCAAGTTGCCATGTCAGTTTAGTCTGGGATTATTAGAAGCGGTTGGGAAATCGTATCAAGTGTTCAACTAACAGATTTATTAATAACTTTAAGCATGACTAATAATAGCACTTTCAATAAACATCTTACAAGTATTACCAAAAATAACATTTAAATTTTGTTAGTGAAATGATTTAGTGAGGTACAGAATCTTCATCAACTGAGATGGTTAGGCTATGTATTACATATGCCTCAACCACGGCTAATTTAGACACACACAATGTTCTCTGAAGTAGTAATAGGTTGAAAGAAAACTAAACCAGGTCAAACCAAGATATTGAATTAGTCTATGAAATCACTGACTGAGAGGAATTAACAAGTTTCAACAATCAGGTTTAGGGTTTGTACGGTAACCGTGATTAGTAGTTGTAGACGTTACAGTTCCACAGATGATAATCTTTATCTACCTCCAAATATTGAACTTCAGTATTATTTCATACTTTGCATTCCTCAAAACAGTATTCTCCATTGTCTGAATTTTCCACCATATACTTAACAGTTTTACTATTTCTACACTAGTAGATTTCATTTTACGTCGTGTTTATTTAGTGTAGCAACTTGTATAATCGAATATATATACTAACTTGTACGTTACTTTTGACTGATTGCCTAGAAACTATCCAACGAAGTGAATCCAGAACTTCACTAAAAGTCAAATGATATAGAACCATACTTTATTTCATTTAATTTATCACAGTAGTTTTCTAGAAACATCTTAACATGGAACTTTATCATTTATGCTCTTCTAGCTATTGCAACTGATAAAAATATTCGGTCAGAACACATTGAGAATCAAAATGATTAATTTTAATGTAATCACTTAACTAGATAGTAGTACAGTGAATTGAGTTAATTCACTTCTCTTTATAGAAAAACACCTGAATAGAACCGATTCCGCGTCACAAATACATTATACTGTACCAACATTATTCCAGGCTAATGTCCGACTTATTTATCTGTGTAATACCCTGAAGGTAGTGGAACCTTTATTTGATGAACCCTGTCTTATTATGAATTATCAGAAAGGTGTGTATTGTATAGATAAAAACGAAATGCAAAACTGAAGAAAGAATTTTCCTATTGGTGTATGATTGGATTATTTCTATGAAGGCCTATCAGGCCACGTGCAAACCAAAGAGAATGATCATAAACTGTAGTAACCAGTAGTGCAGAGAGGTCAACACCAAATTTATTTGTGGTATGAGTGTGAAGCAGCATATCGTCAATATACGACTTTCCCCGCTTAAATAATTTGAACGCTAGTAATTTATTTATCGTTCACTGCCGCTGGGCTGCAGCCTGAGGTAAATCGCACCTACCCCTATCTGTGTACTATGAACAGTATATATCCTTGACGTGTGCACTCTATATATACATGTAACATTTTTGCGTTTGTACCACGTTCCATACTGATATATTAGCTATAGCCTTCAAAGCTATAGGTTCATACGTTGTTTTCCTCTTACAATCTCAAAGCGCATTTGGAACATTGGTTAAATATTAGAATTTTCAAACTCCCCTATGTGGATTATCCGCACCCACCAATTTCTACTTAGACACGAACTATATCAAAATATACTGGTAGTTAGTCCATTTTCTTTGCTTTCTCCAGCACTCCAGTCTTCAACAGCTTTTATCTTGTCTTGAAAAGCCAATCGGCTTTCCAACTTAGTTATATATATATATATATATATATATATATATATATAATGATCAAAATAAAATTTACCAGCAGGGGCCTGTGCCAAATACACTTGTTGTGGATAAGCTGCTTGTGGAGCACCGCCAGTAGCGGCTGCTTGTAATCCAACTGGATGTTGTGATGTAAATAATAATTGCTGTTGTGCTTGGTGAGCCATTTGAATTGAAGCTTGTTGCATAGCTCCTGGTTGTTGTGTGAACATTTGTTGTTGTTGCTGCTGTGTATGTCCAGCTGTCGGAGTACCAGCTCCTCCTGAAGGTGACTGGATAGCTGTACCAATTTGTTGTGGTTGTGGTTGATGATAAATAGTAGAGACATTTGGCCAAGTTCCAGCAATTCCCTGTTGTTGATGTTGATTGGGCTGTTGAAATTGAACAGTTGTTGGAACACCTTGAGTGCATGGAGTTGTAGACCATTGCAAAAGTGTTTGACCACCACTACCAGTATTACCACCATTACCTGCAGATAAATTTGAAGCTTGTGGACTAATAAAAAATTGTTGTGCTGTACCAGTTGGATGATTATTAGAAAATTGGAATTGTGGCGTACCAGCAGCATAACAACCCGATGCTACAGCTGTTTGAGTACCACCTATTTACAAAGTAATAAAATAAACTCAAACATTATATTGATTTCATGATAATCAAAATAAACAGTTACTTTACGTTTAATCTATAACAGTTAAATAATAATATACATAAGTGAGTTAGACAATACAACTCTAGGGATATATACGCCCCCCAGATGCCCTGGTGAGCCCGATGATGGGGAGAGCTCTCTTGAAATATTCTCATATGGCCACGAGTATAGTCACTCCCAGAGAAGTCCTATTCACTGCCATCTCGTGACGGGAATGTTGTTTATCTTGAACAAATTGAAAATTCTTCTAGACGTTATATATCAAACAGGGCTTCAAGTTGCTTTGCTTGAATACGGGGCACTGTGAAAGAAGAAACAACATTAAAGCTGAAGCTAATAATGTTAACAGTAATGTCAGTTAAACCAAACGTAGAACCTGGCACATATATATATATATATCGGTTCAAAGTGTCATACGCCATCAAAATATTGCAATGAAATTGTCAGGAAAAAGCCCATAGTAGAGATAGTGAGAGTAATAATAGTAATGAAAAAGATTAGGCATTAAATATATTATTCGTGGAAATATAAATCCGGTGAAGTAAAAAAAATTGAGCAATTTAGAAACTTGGGATCCAAGAGAAGTCAAAGAGTACATGCACCTGCGCTATTGCGAATAATTCAACTATTGGTTACTATAATCACATGGACCTCAATCAGGTAGTATGAATATAACTACATGGCTCAGTTTAATAGCCAGTGTCTTCATGAACTGATAACACGTGTTTGTTTGGCCGCCCCTAGCCTTCTTATAACTTATTCCCACATCAGCCATAATCATGCATCGAGGGAGTCGATGGATGGGTATAAGTAATACATGTCCTTGAATTGTTGATCTCAAGGTTTCTTAAATAACTACCCGTGCAAGAACCAAATCTAAAGACTGCAAATAAAGAAAAAAAACGTGTACATCTCAACCATGTAGCGAAATTAACAAATTTAAGCCTCATACTCATTTCTTATCAATCGATTATATTCAGAAATTGTCAGTTGGAGTACCAATGAAAATCAGAGAGGAGACAGGTGTTCTGTCCTAGTATAGGGCATATTGGCAGTGTTCACAAGTACCATATTTTATTCAATGTAGCAATACCTAAAAAAAGCCTTCCGCCTATCTTTCAAGAGAATTTTGATATGGTCAGTTAGAAACTGAGCATTATCCCCTATGATACATCTAATATTTTAAGACAGTTGAGGAAAAAACTTACACATACTCTAATGCTTTGTCACTATTCTAACTAGAAAGTATTTATTTTCAATGTATTAATTCATTGGTCTATGGAACGAAGGTTACAACGAAAACCCAGTTTAAAGTCATGTGACACCTAAACAGTTAAAAGGTTTAGTGTATCTAAACTTTCAAATAGTTTATGAGGACACTAAAAAAAATTCACAGGACCAGAACAAATTACTTGTTACTTGACTAATGACTTTCTCCATGGACTCATTAATGAATGGAACTCGCTGTTTCAACATGTGATTGAAACTTCATCATTCGACGCATTTAAAAGTAAGTTGGATCACCCGAGAGACCCCAGTTGGCAGGACTAACACAGGCTATCCAACCTCCTGTTCTTTCTAGAGTGAAACTGATCATATATATACATGAGGACAATAACAACAACTACTACTACTACTGATTAATTCACAAACATGAACAACTAACATTAAGGTCCAAACATATCGACATATCTATTTGTTTACTTATGTACTGAAGACAAACTGCATAAAAAAAGTATTGATTTAGAGACTTCATTCAACCCTTTCAATAATCAAATCCACGTTCAAGTACACACATGGCTAGCACTAAACAATTTATCGTATTAGAACATTATCGTTGACGTGCTGCTTTTAGAGATAACACTTTCCTCATCTAAATTTCCAGGGGTTGAACTTCTACCAGGAGATTCACTTGTTGACTTGGAATATGCCGATGACATAGTTCTATTTGGTGAAGACGCTGACAAAATCCGGAGTCCTCTGACCACAATAAGCAACAATGCAAGCATGTTCGGGATGCGATTCTCCCTCTCGAAATGCAAAATGTTGCTTCAAGATTGGGTTGCATCGACACCCGAACTAATGATAGGGAGTGAAGTAGTTGAACGTGTCGACCGCTTCAATTATCTTGGAAGTCTCATCAGCCCTTGTGGTTTGGTGTGTGACGAAGTCTCAGCACGTATACAGAAGGCTCCACTAGCTTTTGCCAACTTGCGTCATTTATGGCGTAGGCGAGATATCCGTCTATCAACCAAAGGACGTGTTTACTGTGCAACAGTTCGTTCCGTCCTACTTTATGGCTGTGAAACAAGGCCAGTAAGCGAAGAGGATATTCGTAGGTTACTAGTATTTGATCATAGGTGTCTTCAAAACATTGCTCGTATATCCTGGAACCATCGAGTAAGTAACGCAGTTGTTAGGAAACGGGTACTAGGTAAGGATGGCAAATCCATTGATGAAGCAGTGAAACTTCATCAGATGGCTGGGACACGTGTTACGTATGCTCAACGACCGACTGCCTCGACGTGTGGTGTCCAGTGGCATAGGAGTAGGTTGGAAGAAAGCAAGGGGTGGCCAAACCAAAACATGGCACAAGTCCATGAAGTCACTGACAAGTGAACTGAGTCATGTTGGTAGGTGTAGACTACCTGGTTGGGGACCGCGAGATGATAGCAACCGATGGTTAGAGACCCTGAATGACATGGCTCAAAATCGTTTGCAATGGCGCAGGTGCATCCACTCTCTGTGTTCTCCCAAATTTTAATCTTCTGAATTCTTCATGTCCCTTTTTTCCTCTTTCCAAATTTATTTCACTCGATTATACTCGTTAAATAACATCTCCAAACCCTAATCTTCCCGATTACTACTTATACTCTTGCTACCTCTATCACTACGGGATTTGAATCGACCACTGCATCTTTGTGCTAATGTGGTATGGCAACTCGAACTGATGTACGTACGTGCGAAGTTCTACGTTGTTACTGACTGACTGACTGATTAGTGATAATATTCTGTTGCATAAATTGAAATTAATGTAGTAGTAGAATTCTCGACATCATCATGATCTGTGATGTGCATCCACAATCCCGCATGCGGGACTCGAACCCAGGACAGTATCGTGGATGCGCATTGCTGAGGGGTCTCATACTAGGACGAACTGGCAGTCCAGTGCTTCCATGTTCTACATGGTACTTTATCTTAAATTAGCTCGTGAATTCAACTGAAACCACTGTAATCTCCACAAATCCCCATACTGATAATCATCTTAATTATTAAAAATCAACTGATCTAATATCCTTAGGATATAATGATAATAATAATATTATTATTAATATTAATAATAATATGGAAGGAACTATTTTTGTTCGAATTCAACATTCAATTATCTTAGATGCCTCCAAATGCCCATGTACGGTCGATGGTGGAGAGAGTCAGATCTCCCATTCCAAATGCTCTCACATGACTACGTGTGTACAGCCACGCCCACGGAAGTCCTATTCACTACCTTCTCGTGACGGGAATACTGTCTACCAAAATGAGAGGATGGAAAGCGAATATCTGGCTCCTCAACCGTGTTGGTGGATACGGAAGATCAGTTCAGGGGAGTTGGAAAACCCTAACTCCAAATTAATTTTCCATATCTGCTTCAGGATCCCGAGGGAACAAATGGAGCATCAATCTATTGCTGGTACCGGCTACCATAAGAATGTATCTCATAACGTTGTTCTATTGCTTTGTGGATTAGACCTCTAGATCAACGTTTTGGGGAGTGGCTGCTTAAGAAAACCCTCTGCTTCGCTTTGGGCTCCCGAACATTATCCCATCCCTTACATTAATCGAATGACGAAGTGTGAAGCATTTAAATTTAGTGCCTCCTTGTACCAAGGTTTATGTGTTCAAATAAATATATAAGTGGATAGACAAGAGCAGAAAGGAATAATAACTTTGATCTATGAGAGTTAATTAATTATATATACACGCACACAAACATTATATTTTACATACCAGGATGAACAGGTATAGCTGTAGCTGTTCCACCAGCGGCAGCCGCCGCCGCTGCTGCTGCCATTGTTGACAAAGTGACCATTGGTGTAGTAGACATAAAATGACCACCAGCACTAACAATCATTTGATGTTGTGGTTGTGGCTGTTGTAAAATTTGTTGTTGTTGCTGTTGTTGAACAGATTGTTGACTGAACTGTTGTTGGAATTGTTGTTGTTGTTGCTGCTGCTGCTGGTGTTGTTGTTGTTGCAGAAGAAATGTTTGTTGTTGTTGCTGTTGTTGTTGTTGTAGGACTTGTTGCTGCAAGACATGTTGTTGATGTTGTAATTGTAAATCAGTTGTACAATTTGTAAATGTTATACCAGTTGTATTATTTGTAGTAATACCAGTTACATTCATAATTTGTTGTATGGATGTAGTTTGTTGTAATGATTGTTCCGTTGAATTATTAATATTATTGGATGACTTTTTACGTTTAGCTATTTGAAAGAAAATTTAATACAAAAATACGTTTAAATTATTCTGTTATTAATGGAATTTTATTCATCTTAATTGGTATATACATGTGTGTATTGTTTACAGATCACCTTAAGTATAATTGTCATATGCTTATAAATAGAATAGATGGAATGTAATTAAATTAATGGTGTCTAAAATTCACATTTTATCTTATTTTAGATAATTCAGTTGAATATATACCTCAGAATTGATCCAACCTCCAGTCGAAGAGGAAATTAGAGAAAGATGTTGGAAGTGGATAAGATATAACATTGTGGAAATCATCAAACTGCATTACGAGGCAAGTGCTAACTTGGAGTCCTGAGGGGAAACAGAAAAGAGAAAGACCAAAGAACACACAACGTCGAGAATTGGAAGCAGACAAGAAATGGATGAATAGCAACTGGAAAAGATTACTCAGGACAGAGTTGAATGGTGAATGCTGGTGGCCAACCCATGCTCCTCCACGAGAGGTAACAGGCGTAAATGTTGATATTGACTCTAGGATTTGAAACCAATATCATTTGTTCCAAGTGCCAATGCATTATCGACTTAGCTAATGAAATCCAAATAACTACTCACTTATGCAATAGATATGAATTTTAGTTTAATTTGTAAGGAATCGAATTTATACTGATTGTACAAATAAGTGGCTACTTGAAATAACTAAACAAGTCGATAGATAACGTGTTGTCGTTTGAAAAGAAAAAAAAACGTTACTGGGTTCGGATTCCAGAGTGAACATGAATTTTGGGACAAAGATACATCCAGCTAACAGACAGACAGAAAGTGAACAAGGGTGAAGGAATATGAGAAAACACGAGAGAAAAAAAACACTGTAATAGAAAGTTGTAATTAACAGAGTTCTCTAGCAATGACAACTCTAGATTGATGATACTGATAACACAGTCGTTAAAAATATCATACAGTATGAGCTGAACAGTTTTTGTGTCCAACCTCGTCAGACAACATAGAGATAGTATTCTGTAACCATAATTATTAATTTATGTACAGGTAGTTTGAATCTGAACGATTGTCATAATAAAACAGATTCATATGTGGTAGAAATAAATAAGAAAATAAATAAAGTAATAATTAGGCAAATACTGTAGAAACAAGTCACTTTTCATTATTTCTCTCCTAGAGATGAGACATGACAGGAAACATTTTCCCCAGTCTATTGTTACTAATACCTAATTCACATGTGAATTTTACTGAAAAGCATTGTGAGTACATGCACCTCTTAACTACCATCATAATTAGTAACACAGTATTATTATTATTAATAATAATAATAAGGGGTAGTTGAGATAACCAGACACAGGCTTTTTTTTATACATACTTCAGCCAGTAAAAATGTTGTCTCAATTGAATATAGTAATAATAATGTTGTTGTTGTTGTTGTTTTTTCATTATTGCAGATTAAATTATGTACAGAGTACATCGAGTGGAGATTAGACAAAGTTAGAAAAATTCTATCAATATATGTATTAAAATGAAATAAAGAATGTAAGCTTAAGGGGAAAGGCAGGACATAGTAGACCACAAGGCTAGATCGATAAAAGCATAACAACAGTAAACATAGATATATAGATATATATGTATCACTCACCTATAATAATAGAGAGAGAGAAAATTGGACAAACAAACATACAAATTATGGTCTAACCTTTTTTCTCTACCATACACTAAAGGAGGCAGACAAATGAAATATACACGCAAATTAACTAGTTGTAATACATATAAACAAAAAAAAATAAGCTTTGATTCTAAGTAAAAGGGCAGATATAAAAATGAACATGCAATTTATATGACTAGGTAAGAAAAGAGAGAGAGATAGAAAGACAAAGACTAAGCCAATATTAGACCTAAATATATATACATATATGTATATGGACACAGAGAGAGAGAATGAATATATAACTGTCCTAGGGTGTACAAACGAGTAATATAGAAACATTGACCGGTTTTTATAGACTAGATGATTAAATTGCTAGCCCAGAGTAGAGACGATATTTAGATTTGACTTTGTTGTATATTTAACCCATTGATAATTTAAATGACCTATGATGATAGTAGGTACAAAATGTGCTTGAATTTTGAAATACAACAAAGCTCAGTAATTTCTATGTATAGTTAGTTTACCATGAAATGAAGAAATTCACATAATACAATCATCAAATGAACTTGTATAAAACTTCAATAAACCAATATCTTTAAAAATAATAAAATATGACGCGAAGTGGTAACACAGGAGAAAAAAAAGAAAGAGAAGAGACAACAAACGAAAATTTAGTTGTAGAAATGATTAGTATTGCTATTATTATTATTATTATTATCGTCAATGTTCAAACTGGTGGGACAGGACATAGAAATCGTCTATCTAACCAAAGAGAAAGAGAGAGTATGTGTGTAGTGTGATAAGAGAGAGATCAAAGTTAGGGTTTTTGTAATAGCAACACTCTCTATACAGTGTATCTATATATATACACCATGATAAGATTGAAATGAAATGAAAAAGTTAAGAGAATATACCTAACCTCCTACTACATACATATATATGTATAAATACTTAGTAAAGAATTATTTTTCATAAATGGACAGTGTAATATTTAGCTTTCTATCCATTTTCTACAAGATCTGTTATTGTTTGCATAATCATCAACACCATATTGGTACAGAATATTGTATCTTTTCAGTTGAAATGACACGAAAATAGATCATCATCATCATCATTGCAATAATAGTAATGATAAAGGAAACACATAAAACTAACCATATTTCTTCTATACTTCACAAGGTTCACAGAAATATTAGAAGATAGAGGAATAGAAATATTCAAGGGTGAGACAGATTAGTATGTATACAGTGCATTTTATCATTAATTTGTGAAAAATTAAAGGAACACAATGAGCAGATAGTAACTATTAGTGTGTAGAAAGAAAGAAAAATGCATTATACTACTTCCATACTACTAATATAACGCAAGAACATGAATAAATATAACAGTTTTTTTTACAGTGATGAAATTTATACAGGAGAGTAAGGTGAACTAGTTAGCAAACTTTTAGAGTTACTAAATTATCCTTCCAGTTGAAGAAGAAATTAGGAAAAAATGATGGAAATGGATAGGACATACATTACGCAAATCGTCAAACTGCATCACGAGGCAAGCCCTAACTTGCGATCCTGAAGGGATTCTAACCTTTCGCTTCCATATGTAGACAACAATATACATATCTTCTTGGAACTAATTCAAGTTTTGAAGTAACTGATTAGTTTTAATATTAAATGTAGCTGACCAAGAGGATTTTATAACAATCGATTCTAAACCATTAAGAGACGAAGTGAAAATCTCTAGGCAAACAATGTTGAGAATTTGCTTTCTATGGAACATCACGCCATTTAATTTGTCAATCATAAATGAAGCAAGACTTAGGGCACAAGTCTGAGTTCACATACTATATCAGCATAATGAGGCGAATAGCAAACAACGTCGATTATGAATACAGTGGTCTTGAGTGCTGTTAGAGGTATGAGGACGGTTATCACTTCCCGGTTGCCCACACCATGGAAGGGTTCTTCTGGAGGTACCTGAAGAGGAAATTGGATTAGAGGTGGTCTTAGTGACCTGAGAGCGTGACCGCAGTACCCAAGGGACAACCGATTGAGGTCGGTCACACACACCTTGTTATGAGTAATTTTTGTGTTAGCTCCGTACTTGTTGAGACCTTACCGCCGGAGACGGATATCCGTGGGATAAGGCGATGTGCATTTTTAGGGTCGACCTTTTCTAACCCCACTCCACCTTGCGGGAAGGCAGCATCGCTGTCATGCTGGTTGTCTGAAGGAAACACCTTACTGCTGTCACACCTGTGTACAGTTAGCAGTACGACTTCGCCTTCGGACCTTGGGTTTGTTGCTTTTAGTCTTACCGCTCTTCAACCGACCTGTCTGACATGGTAGAACCTTGAGGAACGGTTGTTCCAGCAAACAATGTCAAAATAATATACTAGTAGTATTAACGGTAGCATGAGATTAATTATGAAGAAAGAAGGCATGAACTTGTAGGATGAGGAGTATGGGATTATACTGGAATATACTGGGAAAATAATGAATAAATACACCCGGGTCACTGCAACTGATTTCGAAACATACCACCCAACATCTAAAGCTATTGATCATGATTATTATGTTCATAACACTAATTAGCTTTCTTTTAACCTATTACCTACTCTAACTAGCACTGTGTATCAGAATAAGGAGTGGTTGTGCAAACGCAAAAAATGTCTCAGTCACCTCAGTTAATGAGAATTCACAGATTCGCTGACAAATTTGAGAACTACAATAAGTTAGTATTTTAAAATAGTCATTACCTAATCAAAGTTATTTACACACACACAAACACATACAACCATTAGATATCAGAATTCTTGCCTCGTTTAAATTCCAAGTCACTATCAAGCTGACTGATTGTTTTGAACTAGACGATTTTGAAAAGTGAAAAGGTAAGTGAACAGTTAAAGTGGCAAATAATATAGATTAAAAAGAACATTGATGGATGGCTATGATAAGAAATGGGACAAGAAAATGGCAACGCACGTTTCATAGAACATCTAGAACTTACACCTACAACAAATGACTTTATACATTACTAATTGTTAACTACATTTATCTTTGACATCTTTTGTGAGTTAAAATGGAGACATAGTTAGGACGAATTAGTAATGATAACAATATTAATTAAGTTGTTAATTCACAGGAACTGACAATCATATTGCAACTAGGCAACCATGTATAGATGCATGTAAAAACAGATTAATATAATCAAGTTGTATAAATCATTACAAATAAGAAAACCATAATAAAATGATTGGAAGTAGAATAATTGAATTATCGGTAAGCAATGCAGAAGAAAAATATCAGTGATTGGATTATCAATCACAGTCCTTCATAGTACAAGGGGAATGAGAACCAATGAAAGAATTTAAACTGACAAAATTGAGACACATTTTAATAATAACAGGTTGGAACTATCCTACAATTACGTAATAAAATATATCATGTCAAGCTGTAATCAACGTAAAATTTAATATACAAAATGTACTTTGACTCATGTTGCTACACTATATCGCCACGATGAAATGAAATAAACAAGATGAAGAAGAGGCAAAGAAATTGAAATAGTTGTAGCAGCAACAGTGGGAAAGACTAATTATTCAGAACAAAGTTTTTAAAAAAACAAAATAAAATTGTCCGTAAAGAGAAACATAGTTACACAAGATCTTGAGTAACCTGCCCCCAAATGCCTTGGTACGGTCAATGATGGGGAGGGTCCACTCTCTCTCTCTCGAAATGCTCTCACATGGCCACGCGTATACAGCCACTCCCACGGAAGTCCTACTCACTGCCTTCTCGCAGTGGTGTTGTTTACGAAATTGAGAGGATGAAAAGCGAATGTCCGGAGCTTTAACCGGGTTGGTGGACAGAGAGGATGCACGTAGGGTAGTTGAAAAACCCTGATTCCAAACCAATGGTGCACATGGGCTCCGATATCCTGAGGGGACAAAAGGTGTATGAACCTATTGTTGGTAACCGGTTGCCATGGGACTGAGACTCCTAACTTTATTTCACTGCCTTGTGGATTAGACCCCTAATAAGATTATTTGCTTCTGTTCGGGTGTCCGAGAAGTATTCCATCTCTTACACATCGAATGATTTGTGTGGCGCATATATATTTGATCCCTTCTTGTACCAATATTTGTGTTTGAATAAATGAGTAATACACTAGTATGACACATTGTCGAGATGTTGTCGTAAATTTATTAGTTAATATATTCTTGCTTAATTGAACTCTTCCATCCTACTTTCGGTTATCTTAATATTAAATTGAAACTGGGTTTTTGCACCACTACCCGATAAATTCTAATCTTATCTACAGATATCTGAGAAAATAATTAGTATCATTAATTAAAGTTTCTCATACTGTTTTTTCTCACACTCACCATCAGTTCAGGTCGTTTCATCAAGAAATCAGACGAGTTGTTACATTAGTTTGTATCTTAGTTCTTTTCTTTTAGAAAATACAGACCATAAGAAACGAAAAACTAAAATTACGATCAAGAAATCAAGGACAGCACATAAACTAAGGCGAATCTGACTTTATATTTAGTCAATTGGAAGGGATAATCTTAGGGACTTAACAATATGGCGTTGTATAATATATAAACCGATAGGCGATCTATTGTTTTGCTACAGCGGTTCAGTACTTGAAATAATTATTAGCCTACAGGTTGTAGGCTCTAACCATGTACCTGCTACTTATGTTTGATGGCCTTGTTAGTACCATTCACAATTACATAATCAGTTCGGAATGAAGATAAGGGGATAGATTTATATTTGATTACATAACCATCTACTATTCATTACAACTTCAATAGCACATCTCATTGTTGTATAACACTGTGGGAAGAACCTTAATGGATCAAACAACATTTGAATTAAATAATTTTTATATTCAGCTTCCATCTTTGATTCCTACAAATTATACTAAACATTCATATTTATGAAATGTTAATAATGATTAACATTATGTGGTTTAAAACGATTTAATAAACATATGCCCAATCAGTCCATCACAGGCCAACATATATGTGCATCGGTGAAAAGTTACTTCAAGACAAATCCCAATGTAGTAGGAGCAATAACAGTATAAGTAGTAGTAGAAAAGACTAGTTATAGAAGAAAAAGGAAGGCATAAAGAGATCTCAAAACTTTGGTTCTATAAAAAGTAGGGACTGAATCCACTTGCTCCATTACGAACGATTCTGCACCGCCACTAGTTTCCTTTCGACCTAATTCTACACTATACATCGTCGTCCGTCAAGACAGGAAATGGTTGGGCATAAATAACATATATCCTGACTACCTCAGTTGTTGAGAATTCACTATCTATTCAATCGATTTGCCATGTTTATCTAGTACCCTATGTCTAACCTAAGCATTATTTGGTCGATGGTCCAAAAGTAGACGAGCGATGCCTTGAAGAAAAGTATGGTAGAATACTAGTGACCTGAACATTTTCTTAAAAGATTTATTGAAGTTAACTTATAGATCATAAAACTACTGATTCTTTACATAGGATGAAGTTGAATATCAAAAACAGAATTAGTTGACAAATGTTAACATTTTCCGATGAATAAATAATATACATTTCAGTTGGTCATTAAAAAACAGTACAACCATCATTTAAAGCTTATTTAGCCGAATCTAGTGTTTACCATATATGTATATGTATGTAATCATATTGATATAAAAATGCTATGATTAGTATTATATCAGTGTGATTCCTAATATTGTCTTGGATAAACGTCTTTAATATGATTAGTTCTACATAGAACAACAAAATTTAAATCAGAAATAATAGAAAGAACATATTTTTAACGAAATATGAAAAAGAATTTATGATTCATTTAACACTCTATTGCTATTACTTACGTTTTGCTTTGGATTTTACTTTTCCATCAACGGATACACCATTTGAAGCTTGAGAAACTGCTGTAACATTAGCGCTATCATTAGGCATAACCTGACTTGAAACAATTCCATTCACTAAAGTTCCATCACCAGAATTTACAGCAAGAGCTGCAGCAGCGGCCGCTGCTGCCGCCTCAGCTTTTCGTTTACGACGTCGTTCAGCTTTACGTAGACTTTTTGGATCTGGTTGAGTGACACGAAATTCGGTATAATCAGCGAACACTACTTCAGAATCAGGTAATTCAGCTAGATCACCACGTACATAATCACGTAGCTTTCTTAAAGCTAAAAAGAATGGAAGTTTATCTTCAGCACGCGGAAGTTGTGCGCATCGTGCACTAGACGAAGGCATCACAAAGATGACCTATAATGAAATAAAGTTAAATGATCACGTATTAAGGTATGTAAGATGTCATTGTTAAAAATACAATGAACATATTAACCTAGATAGTGTCTACTTCGAGATTTTATTTAACTTCGTTGATTCCGCAAAATAGAACACACAGAATCCATCATTGTACACATAATTTTGAGACGATTTGTTTGACGAACACATACTGAAGTAAATAAACTCGACACGTACTCATTAATTAAACATTGACAACTAAATCAAGGGATAAAAATAATAAACACGATATCACTGATATCATGGCCACCTCATGAAGTTAATTAAATAAAAGGAAAAACACAACTGAATAAAAAATTTTCCAACTTGTAAAAGCTTGCAAAATAACTTACTATATCTGTACCATCCAAAGTTGTAGGTTGCCTTCCCATGCAAAAATTTTTATGTCCAACATATGCTTCATAAATGCCTATAGAGAAAAAGAATGAAAAAGAATGCTAATAATCCATTCTGAGCATTTAGGTACGCAGACATAAGACTGAAATAGTAGTTTTCCAGTCTGGTTAACATAAAAGACTAATACAAAGTCCCAAAGTGTTCATATTCATAACTATAACAAACTTAACAAATGGTACCGCTTTAACTTATGATGTATACTAGTTTCTTTCAAACCATACTTTATAAATGTTAGTTGAAGATGATCAGAATAAAAAGTAAATACTGTTATAATGATTCTAATTACCATATAAAAGAGATCTGAAGACGAAATTGTACTAAAATATGATGAAAGCAAGTTATATTTCCTCGAATGACCAATATTCCAAGTAATGTCACATCAATATACTAGTAACGTGGGGCTAATGAAGAGTAACTTGAAAATTTTACAATTCGTCTTGTTAAACAACTTTGTTTTACTGGCATTAAAGTTTAGGAGGAAAACACGAAGCTACAAAAAAACGAGTATTCTTAAAAACTATATATATATATATAGCAGACTTTCGTGGTTCAAAATTCTCACGGTTTCACTGGGATACAACTTTTACGGTGCGTATTTGAGGCGCCCATCACTTTTGAATATCCAGAAACACGCATATCTAATTACGTTCAGTGTGAGAATTAAAATGGTTGATTCCTGTTTACTATGACTTAGCACCCAAGTAAGCGTTTTAGAATTTGAGTTACCTTTTTCAATATAATAGCTAGTGACATTACTTAAATAAGATGGTTTGGAGTTCGAACATGCAACACTGTGGTTATAAGGGAAGCGCTCCAACCATCAAGTCACTGCCTTATTCTAGTGTTGTTAACAGCAAACGAATATCAGTAGTTTTACAATAATAAGTAAAATTAGTCAGTCATACGTAACAAAGAACCTGGGACATATGTATATTGGTTCAAGTTACTACATCACATTAGCACAGAGAGATGAAGCATACCAGAGTAGTAGAATTACTAATATCATTACTAACCGTACTTACTCTTGGATTTTTATTATAATCTCATCTGATTATGCTAATGCAGCACGCCACCTTAAATGAGTACGTGTCAAGTTCTACATAAAACAGTGAGTACTATTTAAAATAACAAAACCTGATTTGGTGACAGTAACTCACCTTTACCATTGAAGACGGCAATTTTTGGCTTGTATTTTCTCATTTTTTCAAGCATGATTGCTGCACCAGCCTTCATCTCCTTACGTGTAAGTTCAGCTGCACCTTTGGTTGGTCTTGTACAAACATTAGTGAATCCGATACCGTAATCCAACATTTTAGAATCATCATAGCAACTGACAGCCATTGGAACCAAACCAGCTTGTGATAAACATGTCCAGAAATGATTTCCAGGACCAGCATAATGGTGTCCAACGTGTGCTGAGGCCAAGCTAGGGTTAATCCCCACTATAACAATATCAAGTCCTTCTTTTAGGTGGTCAGGAAGGGATTTGTTTTTTAGTTCCTCCTCGGAAAGATTATTGAAACGTTCAATTTCTTTCGCCGATGGAGAACCCATAAGTCCATCACTTGACGGAACTTGTACAATCCCGTTACTAAGAGAAAGCAGGAAATGATTAACTGAAAGCTGACTTTAGCAGTTGGAAGTGCAAAAATAAGTTTGGGAAACAAATTTTTATTAAAAAAAAAACATGAAACTTCCCGATGTTCTAGGTACCTGATGGTTTTAAGTTGAATTTGCTGAACTACTTTTGTATTATTAATGTTCCTCCCATAAAACTTAGAATTTAGTGATCACATGGTGTGTGAATGGTAGTCAAACTAAGAAAATCATTAGTGTTTTGACAGGAACTCTGTAGAATAATTCCCGGGACAAATGATACCACATACGTTTCGTATATATCGTAGATCTCGACTCTTAATGATTCCTGAGGACGTTTCTTGACTACACTCTACGACACATAAGCATAGCTAAGTCATGCAAGTCGACAAGGTTTTGTTTGCGTTACTGTGCACATAGGACAGACGATCAAGTTAGTCATAACTGACAAAAAGCCTGTGGCAAATATGTCAGCTCAAGTCCTCGTGCCATAATTAGCAAAACGAGGCAAATAAGAAGAGTCGAATTAACAGCAGAATCAATCATAATAGGGAAGACTAAACATTGAAGAATATAGTTTGAAAGAAGAGGATAAATTCGAGGGAATAATGGTGAAACCTCAATAAATGGAGTAAATGGATACACGACTGAACGGCAAAGAAGTACTACTATTCAAGTTATACGTAGATGTTATTTTACTCGTCCCACAACCTTAAAACGTATATTGCCGAAAATTACACTTCATTTTTGATGAATGAGTGAGACCATAATTTATGGATGACCTATAATCAACGCAACATTTACCTTGAGAATTGTACCTACTTACAGAAGTTAAATGAGGACCATGGACTAGTGTAAGGAATGAGGATTAGGATTTACAGCTGGAGATTAGGGTTAGGAGTTAGACTTAGGGTTTTGTCACGAACTGACAACAGCTATAATGCCAAAATGTTATATAGCCATACTGATGAATTAATTTCATGTCCAAATCCAAGACCAATTATCTTAAATCTGATAGGTTCATCCATAAATTATAGTTTTCCCGATGAATGTGTATTCTCTGGAGGTGCCATAAGTCTTGAGCTTAGGTGGTAGCTTAATAATTAAGCCCTTCATATCTGTACTATTGAATCACAAGTTAGAAACACACCTCATGCACTTCCATTTAAACATTTGGGTGACATTAACAACTCACACAAACTTGTACGTGGTTAATTAGCTAGATTTTTACTTATGTGTATTTGCAGCCTCAACGGGCATTTATTCCGATAATTTCACCTCACTACCCTGATGTGATGCAGCAACGCGAACAGGTGTACACTTGTCCGGGGCTCTATGCTGAGCAGTAGGTACTCGAGTTTAACCGTGAGCAAATTAATATAACAATGATGAATCGAAGCTAGTCAAATATACAGAACATTAACTAGTTGGTTAGAACACCCAACTACCGACATGTACAGAAGGAACAAATAAATGATCAAAGTACAGTGAACACAGATTTTTAAAATAAAGTTATCGTACTGAGGTATCGGAAGGTTAGATTTATAGTAACTACATGGGAACGGAAGCTTTTTAACCATTCACAATGTACTTCACAAGACTTGGTACAAGTTTGACTAATTCAAAGTCTTATTTATAAGCTACGCAAACAATTTCTACCCTCTAAAGGTTTCAATTAGATGGATATTATCCTGTCCATTTTACACGAAGACGAATGTTCATTATCCCTACCTCATTACTTTAGTAATTTCTTTAGGTCAATTTCGCAAGTAAAATAATTTACACTGACAAAAACAGAACAGCAGCTTCATATGCGACATAACGATGGACATAAATGAAATAATTTAAATAACACTGATGACCAATACTATAGCGATTAAGAATGCATAATTTCAATCCTTTTGATACGTAGTGGACGTACATCTTAGCTGCACCACAGTACTAGAGTCGTCACATATTATTGTCTCGTCTTTGCCGACAATACTCAAACGTTTCTGAACAATACTCAAGCGACCAAATAAGAAAATCGGACCCAGTAAATGCTTGTTTTCATCATACCAACGTAAAGAAATAGCCTCATACAGAATATTTCTTACCTCATTTCTCCTGAAGAAAGAATTGTCGTACCCCCATCGCTTGACATGGAGACCATTACACTAACAATAATATAAATGACAGAATAAACTCACTCATTTTGAGAAACAACAGCCATATCGAAATTTTCTTGTTTAATTACTGATCCCATATCGAAATTCTCGGGTTTAATATTGGCCATTGATTGTGCGTACTGTTCACTCCACTCCATAACTGTTTACTGATTGGTGATTATAAAATAGATATATATCCTCAACTAGAAACGCAGTCTAAACAGGTAAGCAAGCATTAAACATCAAACGTCTGACTCGACCTTTCCAAGGCGGAATACATCATTTGTGGTGTATTAAAACACGTTCAACCTTTTCATGTTGATGCATATAGTTATTGACGAAGTGACGAAATTTTCAATCCGGAAAGTGCTTTTGATGTTACCGACTAACCATCGGGACTTTCAGATAAAATTCGTGATATGTGAAGCCAAAATAAGAACAATAAACTTCGTAGACTAGTAAAAAATGTGACTGGTAAAGAAAGATTACACTATTTCAACGTCCTGATTCAGTACACAAATCGATGGTCATTAAGGGCGAATTCCAGCAACAGTTTGGAAATTTTAATTAGTCATTATGATGGTTTACATCAGTACGCACATTCCCATGCAAGCAGAAGAAAAAGACTGAAGATTGGTAAAAAGTCATGACTTGAAAAGTCTGCGCCTTGCAATGTGACCGCTGAGAAAAATTTTTGAGCGTCGAATCTGAGTTTTTTTCCCGGAGGAGTTCAGGTTTTAAGGTATGGAGTAGGGAAGAATACTTAATAGATGAATCGGTTTTAAACAATAAGTTGGAAAATAAGAACGAGAAGAATTTAATGATAGGTCTCACACACACACCCTGTAGAAAACAATACTAAACTAATTTTGAAAAGGGTTACGGCAGATAATACCGGGGGAGTCTTAGCAATGTTTTTAGAGAAGTCTAAACCGTCTGAGTAGTGCGCTCGGTCAGTTGCAGATACGTTTCGGCAATATGTTTTAACAAAAGTGAGTTTTATTTCGAATTTCCTGTATCACATAGCCAGCCGCACATGATCATCGTTATGTTCCAAGCTCGGCGTTTGCACCAGTTATTTTCTGTCTTGGATTCCCGCTGAACTATTTGCGCAATACTTTATACGTCACAAGTGATATTTTTATATTTGACATTTATGTCAACAACATAGAGACAAGTATTACTCATATTGAAGCCCGTGCTTATAGCGTTGATGTAGATTGTGAAAAGCAGTGTGCACAACACACTACCCTTCATAACACCACTGGTTATTTTTTTGAGTTGTAGATGTCGCAGAGTTGATTTTGGTTGTTTGGTATCTACTCGGGGAAAACAATTTAGTCAGTTGCAAAACATCCCGGCAGCGAAATTCGATTTGTTCTGAGAATTCTATATTGTACCAAAATATGATATTGAATAAAGCCAATAATAATAATAACATGGTTAATATTTCTATTGGACTGACGTTTGTTACTCAATGAGATCATGAGTGACCTTGTTAAAGGCTTTCTTGATATAAGATACAGTAGGACCACTAGTAGCCTTTGGTCATGAATGTAAGTAAGCTCGTTCAAAAGTCTATCAGACGTGTAGTGTAGAACAGAATTTTAACGACGTCATTATGAGCGGGGCGGATTAGGGCTTCTTTAAGTAAGCAGTCAAATCTGAAAATTGATATTTTATCACTCTATTAAATATGACATAAAGGGGGTAATATTCATTGATCTGTGGTTCTCGATTAGCCAATCGCTGCGATTCAAAAACACCTGAATAGATGGATAGAACACTATAAGGAACTCTTGAAAAAACCAGTCCCACTGAACCCACTGCACATCAAAACAGCACTCATAGATCTTCTCATAGATATCACTTCACCAAAAATCGAAGAAATCGGGATGGCCATTAGAAAAGTTAAGAATAATGGGAAAGCAGAAGGATCTGACAGTATAACAGATGAAGCATTGAAGTGGGGCATAGAAGTGACTGAAAACATGCTCAACGTTCTATTCAGGAAGATTTGAGAGAAAAAACTGTAGTGAAGGAGAACACGGGTGGGGGTAACCAAATGTATGCGAACGAAAATTGCGAAAACTCTTTGTAAAATCTTGGAAGCATAGAATAAATTCTCCATTTGCTGAATATCAATCAATTGTCTCAGACTTGACCATTCCATTGTTTCCACATCAACCACTCTCTATCGTCGTCCTATTTTCTTCGATTTTATTAACATTCTACCACCAGGGACATCAATTTCGATTAATAATACATACCACTTATATCTGTTGACATCAGTAGCATACACCACAGAACAAGTGTCGATGAACCAGTAAGAAGGACACCTCATTTACATGCCAAAGAAAGGAGATCTGAGCAAATGTGAGAACTACAGAATCATCACGCCACTGTCAGTACCAGCAAAAGTTTTCAACAGTGTTGCTGAACAGGATGAAGGACTCGGCAGACGCCCAAATGGGGATCATCAGATCGGATTCCACAAGGATCGGTTGTGCAGTAACAAAATCATAACACTACGGATCATCGTGAACAATCAATCGAATGGATCTCGTCACGATACATAAACTCCCTTGACTATGAGAACGCACTTCACAACGTGGATGGGAGAAAATTATGGGACCTTCTTCGGCACTAAAGAGTACCCGAGAAAATCGTCAACGTGATGTGAAATTCATAGGACGGACTACAGTGCATAATTGTGCATGGAGGACAGCTGACAGACGCATTCCAAGTGAGGATCGGAGTCAGACAAGTCTGCTAACTCTTGTCTTTCTCTTCTGCTGGTTAACTGGGTTATGAGGACCTCCATATCTCGATGGAATCACGGAACATAATGGACAGCTTGGAAACGGGAAAGGGAACAACCGTGGAATGCAGTACGTTGAGACTCGGAATCAGAAATAAAGAGGATGAAACACAGCTGGAAGCAACTCTAGAGGATTATCCAGGACAGAATTCTGCAGAGAATGAAGGTGAGCGGCCTATGCTTCTCTACGAGAGGTACCAGGCATGGGTAAGTAAGTAAGTATGTAAGTAAGTAAATCTCACGAATATACCGCGTCCGAGGTTCACTGATTTGCCAGTCTTATCCTTTGACAACATCACTGTTTTATCGCTCTGTAAATCCTCATATACTAATTTTCATACCCGTAAAAATGGCATATAAACGTTTGCCAGAAATATTTTATTATCATTTCTGAAAGCTATTAAGTTGAAGTCCCGCGTTTATTGTCGAAAATGAATTTCAGTCGTTGCAACATGGATACAAGACGTATTTTTGTGGAACTAAAGTCTACTATGATATTAGAACTGCTCTAATGATAGACTTAATCCTAAAATTGTAGATTTGTTATGATGTGACTGCCTAATATATATACATTATTATCTACTATGATTCATCGCGTTGTAACAAACATCAATACGTGATGAAGAACACATTTAGGTTGGAGATAGAACAATATATTTTATTTGGATAAAAATAACGTTACATAAGTAAGATCACGCCTGTAAGACCGAGTCATGCCATCCGATCAATTCAAACTAAGCGAATTCATTATGAGCTTCTCCATCGTTGGGTTTTTCGTCACACTAAATGTCGAGTATCTATTTTCCTAGTTGTCTCGTGCTCAGCTTTGAGGATTCTGTGGTTAGGGCCTAATGCCACTACACTACTCTCCCACCAGAATGAACGTAATGTTGGTGCTATACCGAATTGGATGGGACTGCCATGCGCCAGAGGTTACTAAGAATAATAAGAATCATCCGGGTTTTGATAAACTAAAGGATAAATCAGGAAGACGGCAGTAACTGATTGGGAAATAAATGCAATAACGTTCAAATATATGTTTTAATGGTGAACTTATAGGTAGTACAAGTATTCTGCGTTTAGTGTTGATTGAACAGTAGCCAGTGGAAAAATAGGTATTGTTGTTTTATGTGCTTCTGAAATAGCAGAAGTTTGTAGCGTTAAAGGATCAGAGCTACCATATTATTTTATAAGTTTCAATTCAAAAGTATTCGTCTATTGTTAATTTTAGTAGGCTCCGGAGTTTTGATTTTAAATGTTTGTTTAGCCAATAACTACCTGAGGATTTAGTTAGTTTATTAGTGCAGTCGATAGTACCTAAATTTGTAATTTTATTATCTAAACTATGTCCATATTTTAGGTTGCTAATATGATAAACCAACTCATAAACCCAAACACGTATAGCAACAACGAATATGATGGGTTTATTGAGAAATGTTAAAGGCGATTCAGATGATTTCTAAATTTAGAAGACATGAAGATATAGTGCAACGCATGTACGGGCCAGGTTAACATTCAGGTTGTTAACGTACATGACAATTTAAAAATAATGAACATGACCAGAAAAATGGTTATAAAGTTAAGACTGCTTATGAAACTTCAGGCAGGAACATGACGCGTTATAAACGTTCTATAAGAAGTACCTGCATTTTGTCTAGTGACATTTACAAATATGTAGCAAAAGCATCTGAAACTAAGAAATGTCTTTCAACAACACAGTATTTCTTAATAGTATGTTGTGGTGTAAAGCTATTAAATATTTCTTGTACCAAAAATTCTTGGGAGTGGCTCGTATGAAGTATATACAATCAGTCTAATGAAAAAAATCTATATAAGTTAAAAAGTACTAAAAACAGTAAATTAACCGGGGGTGGGAAAAAAGGTAAAAGTCTCCTGAAATGTTTTCGATTATTATATTCAATAGATGACATATATAAAGCCATTCGTGACGACTAGTAACGATCCCAAAGCATCGTGAATAAACACGCAGTATGGAAATTAAATCTAGGGTGCTTGGTGCTGTTGATGTTTTTGTCACTCGCTCGAATCAGAAAAACGAATGAGTCCAGACAACTGTGTGGCTGTCATTGTATGAACCATCTAAAATGACCTTATGATTGCAGAAAATTTATAGATTAAACTCGCTATGAGTTTTTGTGGTCTTATCCTTGTTGTTTGGCAATGGAACTGGAAAATTGGAAATTAGGCAGGCAGTGGTCGGAAGAAAAGATATGACAGGATACTACATAGTTTAAAACAGATTGAAACGTTAAGTGAATAAAGAATATGATGAGCTAGGTTCAGTTACTTATTCAGCCCTTGGTTAAGTCGCTAGTCAATGTATATTTAAGCTATTTACAGGTTATATTTGCTAGAGCATTATGCTTAACAGGTTTATTTCACTGAAGCACATAAATACTATTAAAGCTTGTCAATGAACCATCGAAGGTAAAAATTA